ATAATTGTGACGGGCTCAGGCCGAGTTCAGGCTACCTAAGGGCTTGGCCCGAGCTCGGACCGAAAAATAAAAAACTCGACTTCTTAGTCCCGAGGACCAAAAATCCAAGTACAGCCCGTCTAAAATTCTGGGTTGGGCCGGTTCGGGCTCGGGCTGGGCCGGCCCAACTTGCACCCCTATAATCATTTGTTGTCGCACTGTTTCCTATCCACTAAGGGTGTTAATGGACCGATTTTGGGTTGGACTCAGTCCAAAACAAAATCCATTTGGACAGATTGGATGGACCAATAAGACATTGAATTTGGACGGATTGAATGGACCAATATGACATATTGGATTGGACCTGGTCCATCCATAATGAATTTATATTGGATTGAGCCAATATCTGGTCCATTGATAGAAGATAAGAACTTAGGTGTCAATGGACCAAGTTTGAGTTGAAACCAGTCTAAATTAACAGGAATTTGAACAGATTGGACAATCTGTCGACCGGTCCAAAATAATCATTGGACTTAAATTGGACTGGACCGGATCGGACCAAATCCAGTCCAATTGACACCCCTACTATCCACCGTCTGAAAACGGGACAAGTACGATTCAAACAAACCCAACTCAACTCTTTTGTGGACGTAGTTAACACTTCCCCCTTCCGTTTTCCGCGACCTACTCAACCACCGCCCTCTCGCTCGGTTGCTCCCTTTTTTTCTCTAGTCTCACCTCACTGCAAGAGAGCAGAGAGAGAGAGATAAGAAAATGAAACAGAGAGCATGGGCATTCCTCGCAGACGGTGAACAGATCACAGCTCTTTCGTTGGGAAACAACAACAACAACGACAGAAAGAGCAGGAGAAGCAACGAAAAATACAAGCCACAAGAACGACGACATCTAGAGGTTTGTGGAAGCAGATGCAACTTTACCGTCACTTCCGCACCTAGAAGAACCGAGTCGACCCGTCGCAGCCGCTTCGATACCAACGCATCGTCCTCGCAGATTGCCCACCATGATTTCTCTTTACTACCATTTGATGTATTGGCTAAGGTTGCAGCTTCCTTCACCCTCTCAAATCTCCAATCGGCTTCCTTGGTTTGCCGCTCGTGGCGGGACGCCCTTCGACCTCTCAGGGAGGCTATGTTGTTCCTCCGCTGGGGAAAGCGGTTCAAGCATGGCCACGGTGGGGTCCGCCCCAACCTCGACAAGGCTCTTGATTCCTTCTTGAAGGGTGCCGCCCGTGGCTCTACGCTTGCCATGGTCGATGCCGGTCTAATTTACTGGGAGATAGGCAAGAAGGGGGAGGGTATTGCCTTGTACAAGAAGGCTGCTGAACTCGGTGATCCTGCTGGGCAGTGTAATTTGGGGATTTCTTACTTGCAAGGTTTGCTTCTACAGATCTTTCTTTCGTGTTTTCTTTTAGTTTTGTGTGCATAGTTTTTCTCATACTCTACCTCCCTCCCACCCCACAATCCAAAAAGAAAAGGACTTTCATTATATTGATATTCTGATATCTACTGCAGTTTTACTAGGTTGCCGTGCATATGAGAATTGTCGAGAAACAAGTTAGATTGGTCTCTGTTAATGAAGTGTTTTAATTGAAAGATAATGATTGTGCTTCTTTGGCAATCAGAGAAGAGACCTTCAAATTTGATGTGATAGAATTCATTGGATCTCTTCCTATCCTCTGCTCCACACTCTCATTTCTGCCGGATTGTAGGCGTGAATTGTGGAATTCTTCAAATTCATTCTTCACCCGATGCTGAGTCCATTTCTTTTCTTTGGTTAGTTTTGTCAGAGTTATTGGATTCATAGCTACTTCTTTCTTGGCTTCTAGCGCGAATATGGTGTTGGCCTTATGGGCTCAGCTATCATCACCCTATGGACTCTGCTGTCATGTATGGGCGAGTAGAGGTGACATTAAGAATTAAGAACCAGCTTGTGGATAGAATGGCAATCCCCCCACCTCCATCATGGCAGTAGAGGTGATTTTGTTGACTGTCAGCTTGTGGCATTAAGAATAAAGAATCAGGTCATTTGGTGTATAATGCAAGAACTTAGCCAGGAATCCCATACCGTGGTGATGACAATAAATATTTACTTGGCTCAATTCAAAACTGCTTGAGGTTGGCTAATTGAATTATGTTTTTTCTATTGTACTCTATCAAGGTTCACTGTTAAGCTATGGGCCTATGAGTTATCAGATCTCATCTAACTGCTTAAACAGTTGTCCTTATTGAACTCTCCTTAGCGCTCCTTCTAGCTTCCAACACGGGGGAACTGAATCAACTGATAAATCAAATACTTCATCATATTGCCTATGTGAGAACTGAGAGATCTTTTCCTTCATCCTCAATATAGTGTAAAGATCTCAAAATTGATGAGTAAAACATGAGGCAGTGTGGTCTCTGCTAGCATTTATAGGACCATATCATGGATGTAACTTAGAAAAGGGGAGGAGATACATGGGAACAAAAATATCCCTATCCACCCCCAGCTTTGGCCCATCCATCAGCAACACTATAGAAATCTCTAGGGATCCATCTAAAAGAGCAGATTAAATTGGCAGATATATCCCTAATCCCATTGAGATAGAAGTCAAATCTCTATGGGCCATACTGCAGACTATTGGCCCAACTTATTACATTTTTAGAGTCACCTTCCACCATATGAGCTGCTGCGCTCTCTGTACAGTGAAAAAAAATTTTCCCACCTGCTTAGGGAGATGATGTAAGATTGACTATTTTCATACCAAATTGATGTAGGGTAAGCTTGCTCTAGATGGGTTTATAGGATTAGGAGTTAGCC